CCCCCCAAACTGTAGCCCCCTGTGCGAACAATAAAGTCAAAGGAACCATACCCCTACTCGCGACCCTTCGCGATATATAAGCCCCTGAAATAATAAATTCCTATTACAAATATACTGAAGTATTTATATTGTTATATTGACCAAATAATAATTTATTGGCCAAATGAATAATAATAATTTATATTGTTAATTTAAATAATAATTAAAATTGTTAATTTAATTTGGTGTTTGAAATATGACACACGATAGGGGCGCCTCTAGTGTCCGTTATGAAACGGTTACGGGACGGACACGAAATGAATGGGTTATATATATAGAAGATACTAATATTATAGAGGTAATGTTTGTATGTATGTATGTATATGTTTGTTTGCAGCAGGTAATCTCCGAAACTACTCATCCGATTTCAAAAATTCTTTCACCAACATTTAGAACGGAACCTCAGGATGGACATAGGCTGTATATTATTCCGTTAAACATTCATATAAATTAAAATATATAATCTAGGTTAAGGCTTCTGTGTCCAACAGATGGCGCTAAGAGTACGATGCCCTAAGTTTGCTTTTCTGAGAGGCATTATGATTTTCTGTGAAAATGAACTAAAGCAGATCATCATCTATCTATCTATACAGTATAAATAAAAATGTAATGTTCGTTTGTTCCTACCGATTCCTTTGAAATTTTGGCACAACGCTGCATTCGAATACGCACGTGTTTTTATATAATACTGTGTATACGTGTCGAAATTCCCCCCACCGAAGGGAGATGGTTAGGATTAAGGCTTACCGTAAAGACCTCTGCTTCTATTTAGGCCTATACTATTTTAGATGGGGTTTTTTGCGTTTTAATAGGGTATGTCAACAGAATGTACACTAAGAAGAAATTTTTCGAAAAATTCCCCCCACGGGGAAGTGTTATAAATTTATAATAGATACATTTTGAGCCACAACAACGCGTGGCGGGGTCTACTAGTAGATATATAAATTTAAAAAAAAAACTTGTCAAGGTGAATCTAAAGTAGGAAATCACTTCTATCTACAGGTAACCCCCGTATAACACGGTAGTTACGTTCCAAAAAATTGCCGTGTTATGCGAATCCGTGTTATACGAAACAAAGAACTAATACGAAAAGGAGGGTTAGGTTCCAAAAATTAAAAAAACATTCTAGTATATTTTCATAATTAAGATAAATATCTTCATTAAAATTTTTTAAGTGATACATATTAATATAAATTAAACAATGTTTTCTTCGTCATCACTAAAAACACTATTAATTAACCGAGAGCGTTTTCATTTTGGCAAGTTATCCTTATCCTCTGAGCATTTCTCTGCATTATCTTCAGATCCATGCTTTACCTTTTGCAAAATGTATGTAATTTTAGATTGCTTGCTTCTAGTTAAAAGGTCTTTATAAATTTCCTTATATGGTGCTAAGCACTTATGAAGAATAAAGCAAGTATGGAATAAGGGAAAAACATTCGGCAACATCAGAAGCAGAAGCATCACGATCTCGGAACATTCAAACAAGCTTTGAGAAGGACCACGCGTATCGACGAAGGCGAGAAGAGAAAATTTATATACTTAAGTACTAATAGTTCACGAAAATAATTTTCGTGAACTATTATTACTTAAGTATGCAAAAATTTATTACATTTCCTGTTGTACGAGGGTTTTACCCAATTCTCGAACCGTGTCAGAGTGAATCCGTGCTATAAAAGTACCGTGTTATACGGGGGATGGTATCAATTCTCGAATCGTGTTAGAGTGAATCCGTGCTATAGAAGTGCCGTGTTATACGGGAGTTACCTGTATATCTATATCTATATCTATATATAAAAATGGACGTGTGTCCCTATATTTCACTTTTCCACAAAAACTACACATCGCACATGAATGGTGTTTGTATGTGGTAGTAGCCCAAGTCTCCATTCGTACATAGGGGTGGTTGCGTCTCGATAGTTATAAGGGTGCGGGAGATATGGCCTTGAAAGTGGTTGAAAGTGGCTTTCTATTTCGAATGTTTTGTTCGAATTAAATTAAATTAATTAAAAATTTAATTTTTGTTCGAATTTAATTCGAACATAAATTAAATTTTATGTTCGAATTAAATTCGAACATAAAATTCGAATATTGGTTCGATTATAGAACGATTGTAAACGTTCCAGAAACGTTGAAAATAGTTCGTTTGACTGGACGTGAACAGGAGACGTTCAGAAATAGAATCGGGACCAGGTCTCTAATTAGTCTGGAAACGGGGGACCTAATTCTTGCATTCTGTGAAAACGGGTAAGATTGGCTATAATGTAATTATCTTAATCTTCACTATCGTTACTTTTTGCCCAGCGAAGCGGGTCCTTGCAGCTAGATTCTAGATTACTTAGAAAAACAGTTTTTTATATATAAAAAAAACTATATTATATACAAATAAAAACCCAGTGAAGTGGGTCCTTGCAGCTGTGATAAGTTATGTATAAAAAGTAATAACTGTTGATATAGGAACAAAACACTTATATACATAAGTATTTTGTATACAATAGTAATGAAATTGAGCAATACAATTTTTAATGTCGCCTTTCACCCCCATAAAATGCTTTTTTCAATGATTTACTCATGCTTCAAAAAATAAAGATTTAAAATATCAAATTAATAAACTGAAATCATTTTATTTATTATCTGAATTGGAGAAGTATAATTTCTCTTTGAACATCTGAAAATATAATTAGTAATTAAGCATTAGTATTTTAAATAAAAATTCCAAAAATTAAAATATAATTACCTTTATTAAAAACCTGACAAACTTCAGCAGTAAATATTCCTTCTTTCCCAACTTCCTCTTCAAACTGACGCATTCCACCGCCAACTCCAAAATAATATGTTTTTGCAGCTAAATAACTGTTAAATGAAAAAAAAAAATATTTAAATAAAATATGATGTTAGTTTGTTTTTTAATACTAACATTCTTCCATTAGATTTCAGTGTAGTTTTCATAAGTTGAAGTAAGTTCTGTTGATTTGCNTTTAGGCAGAGTTTGAATGTCCAGTTACGAAGTGGCTAGCGATTTGCTAGACACTTCCAGGGGTGCGAAATGTGTTGATATTATTCCATTTATAATATCATTTATGATGTAAAAGTTCGTCCGATGGAAAATTACTTTTAATAAAATAAAAGACAAAACTGTCCAAAAAAATTTTATTAAATGTTATATTGAATATATTTATTGTTTTCACTTACTTTGGACATTCCAAAAAAATTTTATTAAAATGATCATTAATACTTTTCCAGTCACCGGCAAAAAATCTACACAACTTTGGAATTTCTGTCATTTGTTCATTTACATTTAATAACACATTTTTAATAGTTAGATGTTTCAGGACTTCTTCATTCTAATACAATACATTAAATGAAAATATTATTTCATATAATATTTAAATATTATATGAAATTAGAAAGAATACATACAGTAGAATCTTGTTCTAATGGATGATGAAAAAACAATTTCTCGGAATAATGGATTTTTTCGAGATCCTTCCAAATCAATGTAATTTTACTTTCTTTTAGTGGATCAGTAACTCAGAATAATGGAGTTTTTCTAACCCCTTCTATTGTAAACTTCATGATTCTTTCAATATTTAGTTAATATTTAGATGTTTCCAGAAATTTGTAGTTTGATGATGCACTTGTTACATCTGGAATATTTATAATTGAAAAACTGTACAAAGAGAATCAACAAACTGATATGATTGAGGAGCCACTTAGTGAATATTCTGAGGCTGATCCAAGAGTAGTGCAGAAATTTAGCAAGGCCATTCAGTCTTTCCAAGTCATAAAGACCTTCCTGACAAGTTTCAGCATAAATGAACAGACTGTATGTACATTGCTAATATCAATGGTTGTTGTATTCAATAAGCAGAAAAGCAGCATGAAAATAAATCAAGATAGATGAGTTTTTTTAACAAATTGTGAAATCAAGTGAAGTGATAATGAGCATATGTAATTTGCCTCTTTTTGTGCTTACAGTATATACAGTTTCTGTTAGCTTTGTAATACACACATATGGCATAATATACAATCTTGTAACATAGACGTTTCCATAGAAGAGACTGAATAATTTGAAGTATTAGTATTTCTTATATGTAGAGAGTTAAGACAAATTTTTTTTGAATAATGGATATTTTCCTGGATATGCAGAAAAACTGTTGTTCACAATATAATGGATTCTCATAGCAACAGATGTTTTCAGCAGCCTAAGCAATCCATTAAAATGATTCTACTGTAATTTGAATTTCCTATAATTAAATGTATTGTTATACTTGCATAATCTTGAAAATCGACATTTGCTCCTTTTAAGTATGCAAAAATCCCAGCAAGTCCTGCTCCACAACCTAGCTGAAATAAAATAAATTAGAAAAAATTAACAAATTTCTATGTATATGAAGCATGCACAGGCATATCTTGTAGCCTTCTCCCCATTTAACATTTTTTCAGTAAAACGCCTTGTCTTTTGATTTTAATACTCAAACTTTATAGAATAAGCACTCCCTCAATACATCTTTTGACCAACATTTATACACTAGACTCTTATTAATCCAGCCATTTCTTGCACAGAGAGATTACCAAGAATGTGCACACCTAAAAGTAATGAATAAGTGACTCAATGTTCTTTGATACTGATTCCCTTTTGACAAGCATGCAAATATGGTATGCCAACACAATTGTGAGAATTCAAGCTATTGTGTGAATTTTGGAGCTTCGGTAATTTTTATTTTTATCGTTATTTCCCTTTTTCCCCCTTCCATGGAAGTTAAAGTTAGACCTTTTGACCCATCTATGTACTGTGTCACTTCATTAGGTGACCACTAAACTTTCAAAGATGTTTAGGATGTCTGAGGAAGGTCTCCCCTCACCCCAGGAGATTATTCAGTTCCACCTTTGTTACAATGTACAAATCAGTAGCCAATTAACAAGAATCTCCACCTGTTACATGATAGAGGGTCAACTGCAAGAGTAGACCTATCCGATCAAATGATGCACAATTACACAATTATCACCCAGGTGGCCCTGCAGATATTCTGAACTTAGACACTTGCAGCAATTAATTTAAGAAGTTTGACAGCTGTTGTGACACTTTCCCATCATAAATAACGGGTAGAAAACGTAATAAATCAAAAGAACCGTTGGAGGGCTGACAAATAACATAAACAACTCATGACACACATCGAGAGTTACATGCAATTGCATCAGATTTTTCCCCAATGATTCCTCCTCCGGGATGCATATAAAAAGGGATTGCAATTGCACCTCCGGGCAGACAGCCGAAGTAGACCCAGCCAAGTGGACAGACGGCAGACACCCACAGCGGACATAGCCGAGTGGACATCAGGGAACGCCAGACTCATACTGCCATTCCATCCGTCACAACCCCTGTCTTTTCGCCATAATCCTGACCTGAAGAGAAGGGAGACTACAATTAGGAACCACCAATCCAAGAGTGTTTTACCAACATTCAATACGACAATAGCGGAAATCTGTGAGTCCATCAATTAGCAAATTTCGATATTCTCTTTTGTTCCCCGTCACCTCTCAATCATAGCTTACAATTTGAAAATACTATATCTTTAGAGTTAGATCTAGGTAGTTTTATAGTCTTATCAGACGAATTATGGTAACCTTTATGTTTTGTATTCATTTGTATAAGTTCAGATAATTAAATACGATTTTATATTAAATGCTGTGTCATCCTGGAGTACATCTGACACCTTATCACGATCTCACTACCCTGCCCCACTCACTTTTTGCCCTCCTATGTAGCCATCCTTGACTGAGTCGCCAGTAAGCGGGGAGAAGCTAGACACTTTACCCCCTCGGTTTTCACATAATACTGTATACAGAAATGAACCTGAGCAAACAAGAAAACAGCCAAATCAAATGTCAAGAAAGAATGTGTATCTTGGATTCTGATGGTTCTGATTCCCTCTCCCATCACTTACAACTCCTGTAAGAAAGTATGGCCATGTCAAAACAGTAATTAATCAATTCTACAATTTACAGTAGAAATGTCAGACATTTTTAAAAGTATGTTGTAATTTATTCCTAGCTTTTTTTTTTTTTATATGATTTCCATTTAAAATATTTTTGTCTGCATTTTGTTTCCTAACAAATCTCTCTATTACTATGTATTATTTTCCATGTGATATCATGTAATGTAATGTTTGTGTTATGGCATGTAGATTGTGTGCATTATTTCATACAAAACAAATATTCAGTCACAATATTAATTGTTTGGTGTTAGAAAATGATATTTTAAACGTTTTATATCTTAATATAATAGTTTGTTACTTATATATAGGTATTTTCTTATGTTTTAGGAAATTGATGGAGGATTTGGATTATTATTGTAATGTACTATAATTTTCCCATTTAAAATATTGAGAAATAGACTCCCAGTTAATGTTTTCCTGCAGAATGTCCAATTTTCAGGAATGGATGAATGACATTAAGCATATAACAAGTCTTTGCTTGATATATTTTTTATACACATTATTTAAAAATATGAATTAAGTGTTTATATAATATGTATTAAAAATAATAATAAACAAACTGATTATACAGTAACTTTATACATTAATTTATACATGTAAGTTTACCAAAATTTAAGAGTCAATTTACACACAACAGTGACATGCCGGTACAGAGACCGTTTGGTGCAGTAATATCAATAAATATCACACAGACAATCAGAGTTTCATCTATGACATGTGATCTGTATTCTATCAATCATACAAGTGTCGTAGATAAAACTCTGATTGGTTATGTGTGATATTTATCACTATTACGGTCACTGTGCCGGCACATCACTGTTGTGTGTAAATCGACCTTAATAGTACTATTAATTTGCATCTAACTTAAATATCAGTCATATTAAATTTGGTCTTCATATATTTTGTTTGTGATATAATTTGTAATATAAACTTAATATTTATTATTTTTTGTGTGTATAAATAATGTTGTTAAAATAAAATTGCTTAAAAATAAAGCAAATATCAAAAAGAATTTAAATTTGTTGTTATACTTACATCCAAAATGTTCATTCCTTTCTTTACAATATCATTTTCTTGTAAATAATTAATTAAATCTAATGTACATTCCCAAATTTTCAAACCTCCTGTAACAACATAAATTATGAATTATAACAATTTATTCATCATATAACAGTGACTGTTAATTTATGTTTAAATTACATGAACTTAAAATAACACATGGCAATCATATTTAAAGAAAGTAACAAGAGAGATCAGTGTCACATCCTGCCATTTCAACAAATGGCCAAATGATTAAGATATTAACCTACTGCTCTGGAGGATGCAGGAAAACAGATCAAAAAATCCCAGGAATTGTTCAGGGGGTCAATCCCTGATATATTGGGCTGCATCCCAACAGCTGGCTGTCCCTTTGTGGTCCTGAATTAACCCATAATGAGCTTAATAAATGGCCCTCTTGATGCCCACAGGACAGAGAGAATCTGAAAAAAAGCCTGCCATTTTCATCATTTTGTTTTGCTGAAAATTTTCAATATTCTAACGTTAGAATATTATGTTCTGTAGTAAATCTTGTTCACCTGAAGATGATGAATATAAGTTCTTTGAAAGTGTTAGTGAAAATAAAAACTGTTAACACTGCTTTCAGTGTTGTTTTTACTTTCTCTCATGTGATATTTGGCATGAGATTTCAAGTTGTATTGTGGAACAAAAATGTTAAATATGTTAAATTTGCCATAGAAGTAATACATTGAATTTAATTATGCTTTGTTAAACAGATTGATCATTGATTATTACTATTTTATATGAGTATTTCACATAAACAATTATAATAAATTATGATATAGAAGATATAGTAAGGAAGAAAAGAGAGAACTGTATTTACATAATAAATAATATATATATATATATATATATATATGAGAATTTCACAAATAATTATAAACATTTTCAGGTGATTTTAAATTGAAAACAAAATTAAATTCATCTTCAAGTGTATTTATTAAAAGATTAATTTTTTCTATATGTATTTTCTTAGCATAAGGTTGTCATTGAGAACAAATCACACAGGAACACTTTTAGTGGAAAAAGGTTGGTTTATTGATAGGAAAGAATATGCATTTCAGGCTTAATGCTCCTCTTCAGTCCAATTATAACAGATTTATCAGCAAAATTATTACAGAGTTACAGATTTACCAATAAATTGAAATACAGTGGGTGATCGGTTAATGAACATAATCCGTTCCAAGACTTTGTTTGCTATCCGAATTGTTCGTTAACCGATTATCAATTTACCATAGGTTTGTACAATCAACCCCCCTATAACACGGTAGATACATTCCTGCTTTTTTGAATCCAGCTTCCAGGAGTCCAGCCAATCACAGCCTGGCACATATGCAGTTTACGGACTACAGCTGTTTGAAAGGTTTCTTCCATAAAATTAATCGATTCTAGACTAATTTGACTCAACATTTCCAAAATACGTATAATTTTTTGGGAATAATCCATATAAACTATGCTATAAACTAAAAATTATAGAATTACTTACCAAGTGTGAACCGTTCGACTACGCGGTTGCTTAAGCTTGTTTTCATCGTGGAGATTGTCATCAAATGGCACTTGCGTGCTTCCTGATAAATTATTTTTTTTGCGAAAAATTCGCTGAACTTTAGAGACATCATTAATATAAATATAATTTTTATGGACGTTAAATAATAAATGGTTTTTGGTAGGTCCACTGCTCATTTAAACTCAATGGTTTGTGCAATCCTGTTGCAACATGAGTCGGCAATGACATTTTACTGAATAATAGGAGTTTTTTTTAGCATGTTTGTACGAATACTGTTGCAATTTTTTCGCCGTGATATAGGAATCTGAACTATAGGAACCTGTGTTATGGGGGGTCGACTGTATAAGAATTTGATTAATTCATTCTGGAGATCCCAAAAAATAAAAAATATATACTTTCTTACTACGTTTATTTATATGTAATAATAAAAATACATATATACACAGTCTTGCATTTTTATTAGTCATGTTTTTTGCATTTGTGGGGGTTAAAGAATCTGTCTAATGTCGATTGCTTTTCCCTCTTCTTCAAGATTATCCAGAAGTAATTAATAGCATTATAATTGTAGAGATCCCCAAGCCTATTAACCTCAACCTGGTTTGTATGTCATTATAAGACCGTTGATCTGACATCTCCCATTTCTTCAAAAGATCTTTAATTAATAGCAGATATCGGCATTAATCCTCTTTTTCAGAATAAAACATATCTCGCCGAGTTTCTTGGTGTTCTCTATTCAAGAGTTCTTGACGTTCTTCTGTCGTCAGATCCGTTTCAGGTTCCATTATGAGCTCTTCATTGTTCTTTATTTCTCAGATGTGATTTTTGTTATTCCTTTAGCTGCTTGAGTCTTCT